GACTGAACTGCAGTAGGTAAGGTTACTGCCCCTATAAGTCTGGCAACTCCGGGGAAGAGCTGCCACAGAATAAACAAGAAGAACAGAGTTGCCATGCAGCTGGGATGCTTAAATTTAAAGACTAGCTAAAAGTCTGCATTGTACTGAGAAAAATCAAGCCATTACCTGCAAATGAGCGATCACAGTTTAAAAAATCTGTGTGTTAACTTAGGAAGGGAAAACCTACGATACAGACCCATTTAAGTCAGGGACTTATGGGATGGTTCAATGGCATGTAAAAATTGAGCTGCAGTTGATATTTCCAAGAAAATAAAAAGGGATTCCAAAAAGAGAACTTAAGTCAAAGAAGTGCATATTTCACAGATACGGCAATATTTCACTCAAGAACTAAGAAAAGTAAACTTAGCAACACAAGTTACAATTTACAGAAATTTTAGATGTCAGAAGGGAAGTTTTTCAACAAAAGCAAGAGAAATAGTATATTTTTATATATACTTATGTAAGCATATTTCATCTATTTACACAATTAGAGTGAACCTTCAACTGCATCTTGCATCTTGGAATGAAAACTGAATGCTGTGTTCATTTTGTTAAAGGAAAATTAGCTGTACAAAGGTAGAAGTTAAATATTTTAAGACATCTTAGAAGAGACATTGAGATAGCATAGGTCAATATTTACTGTTCTCACTAAGAAGTCACTCAGAAGTGTTTGTTTTCTTCTCTGAAAGCAATTTACTGCTATAAGGTTAACTCAGCATGAGGTACCCGCTTCTGGGATGAGCCAGCAGGACATGCACCCACACCTCAGACTGAGAGGAGTGAAGTGCAATTAGCTCAATTAAACTATTCGGAAAATTAGTTAGTTTCTAGTTAGTTCCTGGAAAAGAGGAACTGCTAAAGAGACAGAATGGGATTTGGCACAAAGTGCTGCTGCTCGGGCACGCGCTTCTTGCAGACGAGATCTGGAGAGCAGCGTAGGCTCATGGCACCCACACTGGACAGGCAGGGAAGTGTTAAGTATTTACAACCTGCAAAATATTAAAAAGGATTTCAGAATGTGCTGGTTTTAGTTGCTGCCACAGAGCAAGTGCAAATGCTCGCCTTGCCAAGTTCAGGTGCTATCCTAAGAGGGGATAAGTTCCTCTTACCAGTATTAACCAGACTTAAAAATGGCAAGTGTTTATTGCTTGAGATTCTGGACCTTAAACCTGTCTGTGACACAGGCACACGTTTCTTCATGCCCTCCCTATCCACACGCAGCGGGATCTCAGAGGATGTCAGGACTTAGTCTATCATGTCAGAGGTTGAGACTAGAGGTGCAACAGGTGCCATAACCAGCAATTATAAGCCAGAAAATAATGCACAAAAGAGCCCTGTGGATGCTCTTCTTCCTCCTGGACATCTCAGGGGCTCTGCTTCCAGCCAAGAAAGGGCTATGACTATGTGTGGGTGCTCACACGCTCCTCGGCCTCCCCTTGCGTTGGGCTGAGATACCCTCGTGTTGGCAGAGAACTGTGCTCGCTTGTTACTTCTCGCTACATGTGAATTTTGAGCACAGGAATCGCAGAATCACAGAACACTTAGGGTTACAAGGGACCTCTAGAGATCATCTAGTCCAACCCTGCCCTGCTCCAGCAGGGACACCTAGAGCACAGGGCACAGGGTGGCATCCAGGCGGGTTTGGAAGATCTCCAGAAAAGGAGACTCCACAACCTCTCTGGGCAGCCTGTTCCAGGGCTCTGTCACCCTCACAGGAAAGAAACTGCCCCACTATTTCCAAAAGAAGAAATGGGAAAGTTCTAGTCTTCACAAGGAAATTCTTATGTGTAAATATTACAAAGCTCTACATACGTCATCTTCCTGGAAATGAGCTTTCATACGGCTGTAAAATGTGCTCTTTTTGCCCTTGCTTACTGAATCTGCATGTTCACGGTTATAATTTCTTCACATAGTCTTTGCTCCCATATTCTGGGAAATGTAATTAGTGTTGACAAATGCAAAATAGCTACAGGCAATTGCAGTGCCAACACAAGCCTTCACGAACAGTGCACGCTACTCTGCTACCTGTAATTTCTTGACTCTGTAGTACCCAAGGGGATCAGTCCACAAAGAAGGACATATGGCTTCTATTTGTAAAAACAGTGGCTTGTGCATTATGATTTGCATGTGCCAGTGCAATTTTTGGATGGAGCAATTCAAAAGCCTTAATCGCATTTCATCATTTCCATGTATGGCAGAGGAAACCTGTAAATTTATATATGCTCAAAGAGATCAGAAGGATTGTTTTTTGAATGGAAACATTTGATGTTTTTGCAGTATTCATATAATTCCTCTTAGACCAATGTTTTCCTTTTTAAGATTAGCTTCACTGCATGTTTCCTGCGTGAAACCCGTTTTGTGTCTGACCAATCAAAGTGAAGATGAATGTGACAGGAAATTGCTTTAAATACAGTACCTCAGAGGCAAAATACAACTTTTCAGAGTTATTGAAATGAAAGTTGTTATCATCAGAAATAAACTGCACAATTCGGTTATGGCCAAAAAATTATTACTGACATTGGCAACTCGATACAACTATTCCTATTACTTTCTAGTGCCTCAGATAAAGTCGTAAGTGAGAATTAGTCAGAATAGTAGGGCAAGATTTATTTTATTCCATGTTGTGTATATCAAAGAATACTAGTCAAAAGATCACCCTTAGAGCAGGGCAATGTTTTACTCTCTACCCCCGTTCAGCTGAGAGTCCTTCTGCTGGTTTTGCCAACAAGGGTGCCGGTTAGTGTCTAGCAGCATTTTGCTACTGCTTGTGACATACATGACAAAGGGGACATAGTAGATGAAACAAATTTACTGTTCTAAGGGGTAGAAAAATACCATTTTTATTTTGGCAACTGGCCCATGAGATGTTGACAAGGAGAACGCCACTCTTGGCATTTTTCATTTCCTACCTACAGTTCTGTGCTGGGAGCTCTCCCTTCCAGCTCCCCTATTGAAGGAAGCTCATGCTCAATGAACCTACAAAGTGTACAGATAACATTCCCCTGTTAAAAGTGAATGCCACAGCAGCTCTGTGTTACCTCAGCTTGCATGTTCAGTTAATAACTCCTAACATTACCTGGATAAAATTTTTCAAAGGATGCCACAGGAGAGTGAAATCCCTGTTCTGAAGTGTACACAAAGCATGGCCACTGATAAGGTCAAATTTCAAGGACATTACTCAGTTTTATTTTGATTCCAACTTGCCCACCAAGGCAATGTGATATTCCCATTGAGTTTCCCTTGCCTGAGAAGCCTGAGAGCATCTCCAAGGAGAGAAGTCCTTGAGTCTTTCCAACAGAGCGCTTCCCACGCCACAGCAGGCCTGGCAAGGCACAAAACTGTGCAGAACTGGCCAGGCCAAACACATGGGTGTGAGGAGTCAGCACTGCACCAGGGATCCCACCAGAAACCGCTTGATGGGGGCAAAATGATCTCCCTGCCCATGCGCCCAGCCCATCATGTGCCTTAGCAAATGAGAAAGCTGCTTCTTTGCAATCATGTCACCCGCTGACCTTCCTAGCTCTATAAACATTTCAATAGCAAAAATCCAGCCTGCACCAAATATCAAGGCCTGACTTTAATTTCACGGCAAAAACCATAATAAGAGTGTAAATCTCCCCCCTCTTTTTTTTTTCCACCCTTTTTTATTTAAGGAAAGCTTACCTCATCTAATATACAGAAAATGCTTGGGTAAAAATAGGAATGAAATCATTGCTGCTATAAAGAGGGGAGGAATACCTTCCCTGTCCATCAAGATCCAAGCAGTTGGCACTCTATAAATCATAGGAAGCACGAGGGTAATTATAGAACTGGAAACTGATTGCTGTAAACATTCAGATGTTGCTCCTAGTAACTGGAAGCTACAGATAATGTGAGCATGATTACAACCATGCAGATGTCGGTCATTTATGTCCCCACCATTTCTCTATGCAGTTTATTCCTTAAGATTAAGTTTTCTCACCAAACAGCAGCCTTGATTATCTAGCCCATCTAGCACCATGCGTGTAGCAGCCTTCAATGATGTGAATTGTTTGTGCTCTGTCATAATTAATGTAGATTTGTCAAGGCTCAGATCACTAGAATATGACTGCTTTCCTGTTGTGCATTAAGTAACACGGCTAACAGCTTCTGCTGCTTTGCTCTTTCATCTCCTGGCACCCTCCTCATCACTCCCACAGGCACAACTTCACATTGATTTGGAAAATATGTGGTCCAAGAAATGCAGCTGGCACTGCAAACCAATGATGAAGAAATAAAACGGTCTTTAGAAGCAGGGGTGTTCACTTCTTCAGGCTTGGGGCTGTACAATGAGAACATTGTCTCCTCCACCCTGATGGAGTGAGCTCCTCGGGGAAGTTGCATCTGCCAGGCACATTGTGCTGGACCATGAACAAATGTTAGATTCCTGCCCCAAAGAAATTACACTGCCAGGACAAATATAATGCTTTAGTTGAAGGTGATACCCCCTTTCCTTACCCAGATGTACGAGAACAACTGTGCAACGTAACGGAAAGGGGAAGCCTCTCTACTGATATCACACTATGTCCTGAAAGAGAAGAATATATACAACTTGTCCATTTTATTCTACAGAGAGAATTGAGCTTATTTATAGCTCTAAATCCCACTTGAGCCTTTAAAAGATATTTACCACAGCTGCATTCACTGCTGCAAACACATTCTCCGAGTTAATTACTTACCACATATGCAAAAACATTGATTGTAATCCATACATTACATAGTAATCCCATATACCATCTTTTTTTTACTTCTTTGAGGTAGAATTTTCAGAATGAAGACTAAGTGCTTTTGAAGAAAACACCCTTTTACTAAAGCGAGTCGACCAGACTTGCATCTCAGATTGTTTAGGCCTTGGCCATACCACAACCAGCAGGACCATGCACGTGGTGCTGCCTGAAGAAAACGCTACGCAAATTGTTGCTTTTGCTACGTGAGCGTCTCACCGTGCTGGATGATGCCGTGCTCCAGGAGCCGGCGGCCGAGCTGCTCTGCTTCCGTCCTCGTCGTGGCCTCTCCCTCCTGCATCAGCCAGTCGATGAACTCCGATGCTACGAAGGTTCGCTCATATTTGACTCCTTCCTCTTCCCTGGCTTGCAGAAGAGTGTTTTCAGAACTCATTAGCCTGGAATGGGGGAGGAAATTCATAGGAAAATGTTTCTTCAGAAAACAACTCCAAATCTAGTCTGGCAAATCTCATTGATATCAAGCAAACAGATACAAAACTTTCACTGATTTATTAGGTCTTTCCTCAAGCGCTTCGTCTAAATTTGGGATGTCAATCAAAGTCAGAAAGATTGCTGCTAACATCTTACTCAAGAATTTTGGTTCATGGTTTGGTGATTTTTATCTATATGAAACCAAGTTTTTTTTTGGTTTACATGCTACCCACATTTAGTTACCTGCTGTAAAATTTAATGTATAATCAACTTAGAAACAAAATTAGCTTAAAAGTACAACCTCATGAATAGTGTGTTCAGAAATTCCTAATTAGTTTTTACAGTTAGCAGGACTCTGCCCCTAAGTCGTTTAGACACTTTTGAGAATTCTCCTTATAAGCTTTAAAAGAGCTGCAGAGATATTCTAGAGGAAGAAAAAAAAAGGGTATTTTTGTGGTTTGGGTGATGTTTAGACACTTTTGAGAATTCTCCTTAAAGAAGGTCCTTTAAAAGAGCTGCAGAAATATTCTAGAGGAAGAAAAAAATGGGTATTTTTGTGGTTTGGGTGACTGACAAATATCTGGCCTCCAAACCAAAGTAATTCAGATGTAATCGACGGTGTAATTCAGATGTAATTGACGGGGTTAGACACCTGGATATATTTTGACATCTGAGCCTTGGATGCTGCCTCAGTTTGCTCTGTGTAACACAGGAGCAAGAGCACTTCAGAGAAGCATTCTGAAGGGTCTCTTAAACCTTAGAGGACTTGGCATATATATAACTTAAATATATAGACTAATATAAATTCTTCTACATTTGAGTAACCTAAACAAATGAAGCAATATAAAAACAAAAGGAAAAAAGCCTCAGTATTTTGTTAATGCAAAAATAAATGAAAATGAAGAAATCAGAAACACTCCCTTATAACACAGTACCCAAATTCTGATTAGAGAAGGATCAACATAGGCTCCTTCTTTATTAATTTCATTATTATTCATATTTGTTCATTATAGGCTAATAAGAGGACTAGTTTCTTTTCCTCATGCAAGGTTTCAAGTGCCCTTCCTTCACCAATTACTTTGAAATTAGGGACACAGTTAAACTAAATCATGAAGATTTGGCAAGCTTTTAATTTTTGTCCTTCTAATCATCCATCTAAGAATTAGAATTTCATGTAAAATCATACATACTGATCTTGTTCTTAAACCACCAGCAGTTCTATAATTCATCCATTACGAAGAAATTAAGTTCCTGCCCACAATTTTTGTGCCTTTTGTGTATTTAAGCCATACAGGATGGAAAACTGCAAGATAATCTTCTCCCATATTTTTTTCTGGTCCTTTATGCATCTAGTTAGAAGAGGCAAAAAAATAGATTGGCTCAACTGATTTATATTCCTTTCAAAAATCTAGGCCTTAGCCAGCAAGCAAGCTTATCTGCAAGGTGTTGTGTTAGCTGGCACTCACACTCACTGCAGTGTGAGGTGGAAGCCCAATAAATATGCAACACCATCTACCTGGGCAACTTCCACGTTCTGCAGCCAAGCTTTGGAAATGCATGTCATAAAAAACCAAGAGGAAAGACTAAGCGAACGAGGCCTGCTTAGCCTGGAGAAGAGAAGACTGAGAAGGGATCTGATCAATGTGTAAGGGATATCAACATGTAATACATACAGGGAGAATGTAAAGATGCTGGGGCCAAACTCTTCTTGGTGGTGGCCAGTGACAGGACAAAAGGTAATGGGTATAAATTAAAACACAGTAAGTTTCATCTCCATATAAGGAAGAACTTCTTTCCTGTGACAGAGCCCTGGAACAGGCTGCCCAGAGAGGTTGTGGAGTCTCCTTCTCTGGAGATCTTCCAAACCCACCTGAATGCCACCCTGTGCCACATGCTCTAGGTGTCCCTGCTGGAGCAGGAGGTTTGGACTAGATGATCTCCAGAGGTCCCTTCCAACCTCAACCATTCTGTGATTCTGTGAAAATTTTCATTTGAAGTTTCGACGACCATGTTTGATAGCATCTGGCCGTATTATTTCCTTCAAAAGATTTATTCCCTTGACTTCAATAAGGGCTAACCAAGAGCCTTAACTGAGTAGCTCTGACCAGCAGCCAGCAGATCATCAAACCAGTCCTGAGCTGCTCTGCCACAGCCAGAGATCAGGGGCAGATCCAGTGATCTGTTATAAGGAGCTACTGTGTTAGCCAGCACTTCTGAGCTAAGCAAAAATGGAGAAAGTCACAATTAGTCAGAGTCAAGGGTGAGGTCAAAAGCAAGAGTACCACTAGGGACAAGTGCCACCGGGGACAAGACACTGACCCCACAACTCTTCCTCAGTCTTTATGCTTTTTTGCATTTTATTTGCCTGTGTGTGCGTGCAAGGCTCAGCTCATCATGCAACACTAACCACATGTAAGAGAGAGCTCTGAAGGACCATCTTTAAATGCGTTTTGTTAACCAGACTTTTCCCCTCCCAGAAAAAAAAATGCATACATGAGGTTTATATCACCATCTATAGCATGGTTATCCAGAACTGGATACCCAGGTTCATCAAGCACCATATAAAAAATCCTTAGGCTTGTGTTAATTATTCTTTCACAAGTCTGTAATTAATTGACCAGCTTATTGGAGTAGCAGATACAGAGGTCCTTGCAAAAGAGATGTTAATCATTAGAGTTTTACAGAAACACAAAAGGAATCTGGAAAAACATCAAGTGGAAAAACACTCAGGCTGACATTTCACACCCTTCTGCGTGTGCCCAGAATAGAACTGCAAAGGATTTGGACTTGCGAATAAACAGACATGACAAACTGACAGTTTAACAAACCCAGAGACAGGAATCCGTGGACTTGTATTGCTAATGGAAGTAAATCAGTGTAACTCCACTGCTGCCAACGAAACCAAACCAATTTATAACAGACAAAAAACTGTCCTTTCATAGGCCAAAACGGAAAACTGTCTCTATCCCTTCTATTCTCTTCTTAAAAAAAATCAGACCATTCATGTCAAAACATATTATTTTCTAGAACATGTATTATCTTGTTTTAATGGAATGTATTTAATCAAATGCTGAAATTCAAATTATTTTCAAAAGAAAATATTTACCTTGTTTAATCTAAGTAACTGCAGCAGATGATAATAAATTTGAATTAACCACTGATGAGCTGAAGTGAAACTGATTCAAAGAACACAGACTCAGAATGATCTGAATTATTTCCTGAAATTAAAACCATAAATCCTCACATCTTTCTGTGAGAAATCTGGCTGAAAATCTCGGTTGCTGTCAATGTCATGAGCTGACTTTTAGCTCTTAAATCTGCTTGCACTAGACAGTCCACAAATTGGACTTTTAAAAAAAAGAAACAGGAAAGGTTTGCCTTAGACCCTTTTAGGATTTGCAACGAGGGATTTATGGAACAGGAAACATGCTTATCTTATATTCATTCTTTGGTCAGTCCTGTACAGTATGAAAATGATACCATCTGTGGTTCTGATATACTACTCAAGAATTCTCATGAGACTTAAAGCTGTAAGAAAGCCACCATCTTTCATCTCTAGTTATAAACTTGAAACTCAAAACATGTTCCTAGAATGGATTACCAGTCTGCATTTATTTGCAGGGAAAACAGGCTGATTTATTTTTTTTCGGTGCGGATGAAGCAAGAATGCAATTATAAACTTTCTAAAAGCACAAGTGCATCCACTGAAGCTCCAGTAGGAGAAGGACATAACATAATGGCACAAAGAAGAAGAGGAGCTCTGTGGCCACAAGGAAGGGAGGCGGGAGGGAAAAGGAAGGTCTTCTTCATAGGAGAAGGACATAACATAATGGCACACAGAAGAAGAGGAGCTCCGTGGCCACAAGGAAGGGAGGCTTAGGGGCAGACCTGATGTTCTTGTGTCCCAGGGAAAGCATCATCTGCCCTAACTGGCTGGCAGACCTCAGGCAGCTTCACATCCTCCTACCTTGTGCTTTCCTCCATCCATTCCATAATCTGCTGATCCTCCTAACACACTCTGCTCATAAATAATCTACTGAAGATAAAAAATCTGCATGGAATGATGTTTGATAACATGCCCATGATTTTTGGCAAGTACCAACTATACTGGATTCTGAAGGTAACAATTTGACTCTAGCTCAAACGTGACAGGGAAAGGAGAGCAGAGAACAGTATGATACTCATCTCAGACTGGCAAAGCTTCATGAAGATCATCAAGAACTAAAAAGTTTTGATAGAGATTTACAAATATATGCTGGATTCAGATAAATTTCCTTTGGCTTGGCTCTCTTGAAATGAGACCTACAGGACTTTTGATAAACAAGTGGAATATACCAGTAATGACTTCATATCTCTGCATGAATACTGCACATCCTAATAAACTTTTATGTGCCATTTAATTGCTGTAGCCATTTAATTGCTATTTTAAGTATGCTGAGTTAATATTCTATTTCTCAACATTATAAGCAACACACAGCAAATACATTACACATACACATTTCATCACAGAACTTCTTCTGTGCTGGGCTGGCTTTGGGTACTTGGTTTAAAATGAAATGTTGAGAGGGTTGCTAATAGGTGTGCATGGACAAGAGGCATAATGAAATCAGAATGCTCTACCGACTGGATTTGCTACAATAAGTAGGGTGAAACTCAAGGAGCCCAGGTATGCATTCTAATCTCTCAAGAATATAAACTATTTCCAATGAGCCATGGAGAATCTTTACTAGCTTTGACTATCGTAGGTTGCCTTTGAAATGCCTTTGTGATTTATACCATGTTTAGCATTCAGGGCTAGGTTTAAAAGTTTCTGGTTTAAAAGCCTTTAGATATGCCAGCCACGAGCATTCACCTTATGAAGATGCAGTTATATCCACATATAGGTGCTCCTTTTGGCATTAACTCCTTTCCCTAGATGGAAATGATCTATACTGTTGTAAACATTTTTAGTAGTATACTGTAAGATAAACAGGACTCCAGGGCTTGTTTTGGGGATGTTTCTCTGTGCTGAAACATTAGGATCGAAGCAGATATCCTGGCACAATAGCATTTATCCTACTGTGGCTCCTTCCAGGCACGGGCCTGTTACCTACACCAGCAAAAACTGACTTTGCCCACATAAGCTACAGGCAACACAGAAGGTTTGCAGCTGTAGACGTGCCAACTGACTGTTCACAGCACAGGCCAGGCCTGCAGGCACCGCGTGTTGACAGAGTCTAAAGGAACAAATGTTTTACTCTGTTAGGCCTAGGGCAGTTTTGAAATTCAGTTGCTCTTCCCCACTGAATAGGGTGAAGGACTTTTCCAGTAAGTGTATTTTCTTGCGTTTTAACCAATTTAGTTTTACCGAAAATACTCACAGCCGCTGAGTCTCAGGAAATTTTACCCAATTTTACCTGTAACAGAGTTTCACTGAAATATACACAGTCTACACAGGTCTTTCCACCAGTCTCCCAGTCTTCGTACAAGTAGGTTCTTTACTCATCACACATGAGTACGAAAACACCTTGTAAAACGACACTACTAGCAAAGGGTATTTCTGTTTCAAGATGATCATGAAGATCATCACGGTGGGTTTGGCAGTTTTCCCCAGGTCTGCCAGTTTTCCAAGTCTGCCCTTTTGTGCAGGAAAAGCCCACAGGACTGACCGTGCTCTGGGAAGCTGGAAAGCCCTGGGACACCTGAGCAACTGAGAGGCTGTAAAGGAGGGGCTTTCTGCTTTTAGCCTTCTGCTTGACATCTTTTCTGTGCAATTACTAATTTTTGCTTTATTCTAGGAGAAAAACAAAATTAATCCAGCCATACAACACTATGTCTGCCATGGTGGTTGTAGACTTTCTGCTCTAAGAGAGCATGAGCGTATGCTTCATTACGTCAAGAATAAAACTGCAAGCTCTTTGGAAAACAGCACATCACACCTTTCGCATTGGTTTGTGGTATATGCCAACACATTTACCTTCTTCTCCATTCTCTGCATGCACTCTCTGCACTCACTCCGCCTGAAAGTACCACGTTACATCCCTACATACTGAATAAAAATGTTATTAATTACAGATTTGTGAGTATATTTAAACTGCCTAGTTTTTTGACAGAAATAAACCTGTGGGATATTCAGTATGCCAGCATAATCATTTATTTAAAATCTTACTAGATGTTCTTAGTTGTTCTTTTTTTTTTTTTCCAGACACTTCTCACATAATCTTTCTGATTCGGAAGCTCTGCAGACTGCAAGAGTGAAGATTATTTTCACTTATTATTGAAAATCATATATACTGATTGAAGCCACAGATATTGTGTCTCAACAGACATGTAGTCACTTGTTCAGTACATTTTGACATACTAAAGTTTTAGGTTTAGTGATTACAATTTTAGATGGAAAATCTTCTGCTAATAATCACTTTTACTGGTAGAGGACAAGGGCTTAAATGTACACTGGCTTCTCTTACAGGATAGGTTCACAAGACAGAACAGAAGAAAATGCAATTTCATTTTGAAGAAAATGCTACAAGTCAACATTATAGAACAGCAAAAGGCAAATAGGAAAGAAAATGAAGGGTTAGAAAATAAATTATGTGCTTACAAGATTATGTAATTATAAGATTATCAACTCTCATTTGCTCCTATGGTACTATTATCAACATGTTATGGATACGAAATGCAACCTACTTTTCATACAGTCGCTGTCCTCTCATGAACACCTTCACCTCGTTATCCAGTGGAAACGTCCCATCATCCTTTCTAAAGCGGTAGAAGAGTTTGGCATCCTTGAATTCTTTATGCTCATCACAAACTGAAATATAAAATTGAAAAAAAAAGCATCACAGTGATATTAAAGAGTTGATAATCCATTTAGCACGTGCTGCTGCCAAACTTCAGTATGTTTGGGGTCTAACCCCCTACATTTCTTAGCACATAACTCTACTATGTTCTAATAAAGGATGAGAGATTGAAGATAACTTCTCGAAAACAACATTTATGTTTGATGGAGACAGATAACTCAGCTGCTTCAGTAAGCATTGCAGCAAACATAAACAGTAAAAAAAACAAGATTTGTTATACACCTGGAAAGTCTTTTGATGGAAAGATGTGGCTTTTCTGTTGAAAGTCGAGTGGGATGCTCAGTAATTACAGGAATGAGCAACTTCTTGATGCTACTTGCATCAGCTAAGTAGTGCTGTAGGAAACCTGAGACTTGCTGTAGAAACAGTTAAAAACAAAGCCTTTTATCCCATAAATTGTCCCAATTGCTCTGCCATGGGGCTAGCAAATGGAAGGTACAACAGGAGTATCTGAGAAATGCTACATAGGGATTTATAAGAGATGGAGGATGCCGAAAAATGCCAGAACAGAGAACAAAGCCTCAGCAAGGGCATATTTGAAGGCAGACGACATCCCATCCAAGCCACTTTCAGCAGAGCTGGCAGCCCACGTGTGTGGCCTCCCCTTCTGCACCATGGGTACTCGTGGGCAAGTGTCACTGCCACTGTCACTTGTCACTGCAGCTGAAAGGGGACGCTGAGCGCCTTGCAGAACCTGACTGAACCTATTGGAATTTGCCCTACATCAATGTATGCCTGACAAATAATTTTACTATCTTTGAGTGCAATACATGAAAATTCTCAAAAACACCAAGTCTATATGGTTACGTATTATATGCATACACATATCTATACAATTTGTATGGAAGGGGCAGTGTGCAATTGGCTTCTGAGGTGGAAAATAAATGAAGGTTGTTAAAGTTTTAAACAGGTATTCAGCAATAAAACATCTATTGCTCAATTAAATTAAGTCACTCAGGAATCCATGTAACCAGTGACATTTTCTCAACAGAGGATTAAGCAGTCAGATTTGAATACCCTGTAATTACTTTATTCTTTAACTATCTACTGAGATTCCCAGTTTCCATAACAACCCAGAATTTTAATCTAATAGCCAAGCAGAAGCTGAAGAAGTGGCACTCATTAGCATGTGCATTTTCTTCCTTTAATTAAGGTGTTGTTAATGCATTGCTGATAGCAGCAGTATTGATGCACATACAGTGACCTCTGTATAAAGTCAACATCCGTCAGTTAGTAAAATTACTCTATTTTCTATTAAAAAAGAAACATAAGCTAAAATTTGTGATACCACAGGCTTGAAATAAAGGAATTGATCTTCTTTGCTTCTGTGCTTTCATGCTTTTCCATGCACCAAAAGGCAACTAACTGCTATCACTGTTTTGGCAGTCTCCTTTTCATAAGTGCAAATTGCTATTCAGGAAGCTGAATGGAAGAGGGCTCAAAGAGACAGCAAGTTTAGGAGAAAATTAATCAGGGCACAGTTTGACAACTCACTTTCTTGCAGCTGCACCAGCACAAATGCTTGTGCAGCTGGTGTGAGGGACAGAGCCGGAGAACGAATCCGTGTGAGAAAAATGACCTTTTTTGCTGGTTTGTTTTTCAGATGAGCTTTTCAGCTGGATGGGGAGGAGCGGGCTGTGCCCTGGGGAAAGGGCCACTGGGAGACCCTGCTGCAGAGGGGACGGCCAGCGGCTGCTGCCTGCAGACACAAAGTGGCACACTGTCTGCCACCACGTCATTCCCTGCATGGGCCTGGCAATGTATGTCTGGGAACGTATGTCCATGTTCTGCTCGTATCTGTTTTGCTTCTCGTTGTCTCTCAGGACATGGGGACCTTGTGGAGCTGCACAGTGCTAAGGAGATGCTTTCTCTTCTCCGTTACCATTGACACAGGAAGGGATCCGATCTGTCCTATGCGCAACTGAGGAAGGAGAGCAGCAGCTCCCTGGCTGCTTCACTAAAGGCAATAAAATTCAGCTTGGAACAGTTGTGGCAGCGGATACTGCACTTACCATGATGGATAATGCTGTGATCCAATAATTTCTGCACAAGTTTAATTGCTGTGTCTCGGTCGGAGGCCTCCTTATGGTCAATCAGCCAGTCAATCAGCTCTTTGGCAACAAAACAGTTGGGATATGTCTTGAGGTGGTGCCTTCGATCCTTAATGACCTTTTCTTCATGCAATCTGAGCCTGTGGGTCAAATCACCTTGTGAATATCCTTTGCAAAGGAGACATAACCAGCAAGAGTGGGAAAAGCTTGGCAAACGTCCCCATGTTGGATCACAAGGAAGGCTTTGCAGCTTTTGAATGCAAGAGGAAAAGTTTCCTTCAAATGTGCAGTGCTAGGGTCCGGCTGCCAAACACTCCACATGAGCAATTTGTTATAATTTTAAACCTCGTACATGGAAAAAACTCCATTTCTGTCCAGTGGAAAAGAATAAAAATCGAAGAGCAGCACAACATTCTAAGCACACTAACCTGTTTCCTGCATGCCAGTTAAACTGTCAATAACTCAGAATTAATTTTCCCACATTACCACTAATGCATTCCACGTTGCTCTTTGATTTTGCAGTTTCACCACCACAAATTTTTTTGAACCTCATTCACTTTTCCAGCTGTACCTTCTTCACTGGTAGGGTAACTGCATTTTGTCTCCAGCTGCACAGCAAGGTTAGTGTTTATGATTTAAAATTTTGCCACAAAGCTCTCTCAACACAACGCAATTTGGCCTACAAAAGTTGCCTCCTACTCTAAATGAAGGGAAACTGCCTGCTCACTCAGAGAGCTGGTTGCAAATGCTACTTGTCAGCTGGTCATGAAGAAATGTTATCATCAGATGTACCTGCAAAATCTCACCCATAAACTTGAAAGCAAGTCAGGCAGCTGTCTTGGAGATATTTGGCTTGTGGTGCAAATCCTGCTTGGAGAACCACCTTGCTAGTCAGTGAAAGTTTTGGGGTTCCTCATCTTTACTTTTAGTCTTTTTTTTTTCCCCCAAACTAATACCGTATGTAACAATGTTTATCATTGAATTAATTGGATAGAGATTTTAAAGAGTTTTCTGTCTTCTAATTTATTACAGCTTCATTTGAAACAACAATCGTAGTATTTTTTGCTAATGTCCTGTATATGAAGAAAGCGTGAAAGCCACAACTCTTGGGCTCCTGTATCACAAATGCAGGACATCCAAGTGACCGTGGTCTGACTTTGTAAATATGCTCATCAACTTTGGAGAAGCTCTGAGCAATGCTATAGTAATTTAAGGGAGGTGCAACTATCTCTGATTTCTGAGAAGGGAGGTGGTGCAGGAGGGCATTAACCTGAGTCTCAAGAAGTGCAGGGTAGGGGTCCAGCCACGACACCAACCTTCCTATCAAAGCGATTCCAGCATGAAATAAGCATTCCTCTCCGGAATCAAAGAAAGGCAAAATATCTGGCCAAAGAAAAGTTAAAGATAACATTATTTGGGCAGACAAGGCTTAAGCAGCTTTTTGCCTGACAACATCTATATATAGTAACAGAGCAATGGTTCTGTTTTGCAGCACTTGAGCTTGAACTGCACTGGAACGCCCAGTCTGTGATATGAATTCAAAGCCAGATTTGCAAACATCATGAAAAATGAATTCTTTTATATTAAAAACATAGATAAATCAGATTAGTATTCTGGAAAGGAGTACTGGTAAGTATCCCATGCATTGTGAAATTCTCTGAGCTAAAATGTCTTTGCTTAAAACATATTTTCCAGATGTGCTCTTACAGCTGTTGCCATAGTTAGAAAGGCCTACACAATTTTAATTATAGAACATGCAATTATGAGTATTTTTCACTGAGTTTTACATTTAAAATATATTTCAGGTTCTGTTAATATTCACCATGTCTCACATGGCACAATACCCTATTTGAACAAAAAATATGGAAAAAGCATGTAATACATATGCAAAAGGCTCAACCCACCTCAGAGACACAGGCAAAGGTGTAAATCAATACAGTGAATTTGACACAAAATCTGACCAAAGAGGGAACCTTATTTCACCAAATTCTTTGTACAATCCACGTGCTAAAGTGTGCCAAGACCGGTACGATATTTCGTAACCGAACAAACAGCCAAGAGTCCCAGAACTGAGCATTTATGCCTTAAATTCTGACTGAAGGCTTTTCTGCAGTGGGTGGATGACTTACAGGTGTTTTCTTTCTGGTTCTCATGTCAGAAGATACGGGCTCCCTCTACACTCCTCGCTCAGAGCATTTTCAGGGACTCTCTCCTGTGCCTTTTGGCCTATATTCCTAAGAAGAGCAGAAATTTCATTACCGTAATTATCTCCACCCACTTGCTAAATCGGATCCAAATTTGCTAAGATGTTACAAAATCATTAAACCAGACAGAGCATGATCACGTAAGCTTCAAGAAACCAGGCTGAAAATCAAATCTATCTGCATTTCCCAAATGGAAGTGGGAACTCATTCTCCCCTGTATAGCAATGATATCCGTATTGCATGATTTCCAGGCTGACTGATTTGGAATGAAGGCGCGAAGGGGAATTTGGGCTTTTCTCTCAGGTAGTGCACACTGTTCTCTCTAAGTCAGGGCTCCTTCACCACTTTGAGCCTGCCAATAAACAAACTGCATGGAAGAAAAGTAGTTCAGTAAACTCTGCTTACATCTAGTGCAAACTATAAAAATAAAAACCCCAGAGAAAGCCACTGAGGTTGTATTTCTGCATATAAATCAACTTTCTGCAGGAATTCTAAAAATGTGACAGTGTTCAGCCATATTTATCATGAGCTGAATGAAATGGGGATAAAAAGGAAAAAAAAGAACAGCGAATGCAATCATGCACACCGGGACCAAGGATCAAGTGAGCCAGTAAATTCTTTATCCCTTGGCATTCGGAATCAGGCTTCTCAGCAAAGGCTTCAATGACTTTACTTCAAGTCACGTTAATCACATTTTGTCAGCTAGTCTGTACTATGACTGGAAAAGACATAATTTGACATCAGCCGTATTTCTCCAGCTTTAAGAGGTTTTCCTCAAGAGCTACTCAGGAATATGAGTTCACCAACAAAATCTGACCAGTCTGAGGGGACATGGGATAGAAGAGAGAAGATGAAGGGCAATGAGGGGAAATCTTGATGGAGCAAGTCTTTAAAAAGTCATCCCTTTTTCAACAGCTTTAAAAGCTTAACTCCAGAAAGCAGCTTTGTGCACACCAATATAATATCATCCATATATAATTCCACATATTATTTGAGATTACAGGACAGATTTTGAACTGGGCATCTCAGCCTCCCTTACCTGCAGAAAACAAAGTGAGAGCTAAAGTATTTGAGCAATTTCCTGGCACAGGTATAAG